GATCCTCACAACAACCCTTGGAGGTAGGTCCTATTATTATTCTCATTTTACAGCTGAGGAAACTGAGGCAAGCAGACGGTAAGTGACTTACCCAAGGTCACACAGCTAGCAAGTGTATAAGGATGTATTTGAATTTAGGTCATCCTCACTCTAATCCCAGTGCTGTGTCTGTCATACTACCTTGCTGCCTGTAAAGTGACAAGTTGGATAAGTTGAACCCTAAAGTCCTTCAAGCTATGATAATCTATAATCTATGAATTCCTAAAGTAAAGGTATAGCTTTTTTTTACAGAGACATTGAACTTGGGAGTCAAAGAGTCTTGCATTCCTGTTCTACTCTGCCACTCATTCATTGTGTGACTGTTGTTCTCTCTGGGTACTCAATTTCTTCATCTATAAAATGGGGGTGATAATCTAAGCCCCACTTCCCTCACAGGGTTGGTGTGAGGATCAAAGAAGATAATGGATGGAAAAGCACTTCGGAAAGTACCAGGCTGTGTATGAGTATAAGGGATTATTGGGCACTTGCTTTTTACCTGGTGAGTCGGGAAAAGGCTAAACCAAAACACAGCTGGTTTTGCTCAGAACAAAGTCTCCACATTAACCAAGAAGGAGGGAGGGCGGTGGAAGCATGCAATTTAAAAACTCTTCCTCCCACTCTGAGAACCACTGCCTGATTTATTTCTCCTCACCCCACTGGGCATCAGGAGGAGCATGAGACTTGTCTGGACACAAAACTCTCTCTCATGGACCCCCATCTCAGCCATCAAGATGCATACCCCCACCTCCACCTGCCCTGCCAGTCTCTACCCCTCCCTCCCTCCACACACCATGGACTTGGATCCTGCGCTTGTCTTACTCCTGTAGTCAGCAGGGCCCAGGCAGGGCCAGCTGGCTCAGTCCTGACTCTGGCAGCTGGCCAGGCCAGGACTGTCTGTTGAGCTTTGCAAGAGCTGGTGAGAGGGAGAGAGAGAGGGAGAGAGAGAGAGAGAGAGAGAGAGAGAGATTGAGAGAGAGGGAGAGAGAGAAGGGGAGAGAGAGAGAGGGAGGGAGAGAGGGAGAGAAGAAGGGAGAGAGGGAGAGAGAGAGAGAGAGAGAGAGAGAGAGAGTGTGTGTGTGTGTGTGTGTGTGTGTGTGTGTGTGTCCACTTGCTAGGTCCTTCCTTACCCCAGGCTTGGGGTCTAGGAACCTGCAAAACCCTAATGGCCCCAAAGGGATTTTGAAAACTCCCCCTTTCCCTTGTCAGGGGCATATCCTCCAGGAGAGGCAGCAAAAGTTTAGTTTATCCCTAAACTGGGCATCAGGAAACCTGAGTTCTAGTCCCAGTTCTGCCACTAAATATATGTGTGACCTTCAGCAAATTACTTCTCCAGTAATTGCCCAGAGAGGGCCTCCATTTCCTTATCTCTGTGGTGTCGTAGAAAGAATCTTGTTTTGGGTTAAGGGACCTAGGGCTCATATGCTGGCTTTCGTACTGACTGTAACCACTTGGGCAAGTGACAACCTCTGTAAGCCTCAGTTTCCTCATCTGTGAAATGAAAGGATTCTAGTTCTGACATCCAATGATTATGTGAGAGTCCATAGTCACCCAGAAACTAATTTACTCCAGACTACTGGACATGTTTCTGAAAGAGATAGGGTTCTTCTTCCTCTGTAGGATCCCCAAGCTAGGATTCGTAGCTAGAAGAAACCCTAATGATCATCTAGTGAAGACGTTCTTAACCTTTTTTTTGTGCCATGGACCCCTTTGACAGCCTAGTGAAACCTATGGACCCTTCTCAGAACACCATTTTTATGCATTTTTAAATGCATAAAATAAAATACATAGAATTACAAAGGAAATCAATTATATTGAAGTATAGTTACCAGAATTTTTTAAAAACAAGTTTACAGACCACAGGTTAAGAATCTCTGATTTAGTCTGGTCCCTTCATTAGGGGTTGCTATAAGTATCAGAGCTGAAATTACTCAGGGTCTGTCTTGGTAAAAATCCAAGGAAAGCTGTGGAGATGGAGGGAAAGTGTATTTGTGACCTGTGGGTGCCTCAGAATGGACATCCTGATCTGACACCAGGGCAGAGGATAGGACTTAAGAAGGTCACTTTCGACATCAGACCCATTGACCCATCAGAGAGGACTCAATGGCTGTGGCTGTTTTAGATTCTAATTCTAAAGGCCTTTGAGGGGAGGGGAGACCTACTGGCTTGAGAGCACCAACCCACGAGACTTGTTTTTTCTTTTTAATTTTTTATCAATATTTTTTATTTTTCTCAATATATTTCCCCTCCTCCCCTTCCCAAAGAGACATCTCCAATATTATGGGGACTATAACAAAGAATGAAAAGGGGGGGGGTGGAAATAGTTCAGCAAAACTCACCAATATGTAAGCCAAGTCAGATACAGAGATAGATAGACTGATAGATTGATAGATAGATGATAGATAGGATAGATAAATAGATGATAGATTGATAGGTAGATAAATAGATAGGTTATAGATAGATTGATAGGTAGATAGATGGATAGATAGGAGATAGATGGTAGATGGATAGATAAGTAGGTAGATAAGTAGTTAGGTGATAGATGATAGATGGATAGATAGGTAGGTAGATAGATGGGTTGATAGATGGATAATAGATGATGAATTGATAAATAGATGATAGATAGATAGATAGATAATAGATAGATAGATAGATAGATAGATAGATAGATAGATAGATGGATGGATGCAGTGTTTCACACCCATGGGCACACCTCGACAAAGAAGGGAGGCAGATGCATTCACAGATCTCTCCATTGGAGCCAAGCTTGGTTATCATAATTTCTAGGCATTGAGGTTTTTTCTTCTTTTTCTTTCTTTTTCTCTTTCTTTCACCATCTTCGTGCTTTCCATTTACCCTGTAGTCATTATGAATACTTTTTTCGTGACTGTGCTACTTCAGTCTCATCAATTTCTATAGATCTTGCCATGATACTCTGAATTCTTCATACTCACCATTTCTCATAACACAGTAATACTCCATTACTTTCACATATTACAACTTCCTTAGTCCTTCCAAATCAAAGGAGGAATCTACTTTTTCCCAGTTCTTTTTGCTACAAAAAGTGCTGCCTATAGGTATTTGAGGCTATGTGGGACCTCTGTCTCTGGGACTGCCATTTCCTGCCACTTACTGGCTAGCAAAGTCCTGAAGCCTGGACTCACATTCAGCAAGGAATTCAGCAATACAATGTGTTAAATCTAAAGCTGGCCTCTGGGAATCTAGAAATGAGAAGCATCAATGCCACCAGCCTCACATTTCTGTATCATTTGTTAAGGTTTACAAAAAGAGCTTTCCCTACAATCCCTTGAGGTTACTAGCATATACATATTATTATCATAACCATTTTAGAGATCAAGAAACCGAGGCTCACAAAGAAGTGAATTACCTGGGCTTGCACAACTGGTAGGTGTCTGATCAGGGTTAGAATCCAGGTCTCCTTTCAAATCCAGTGCTCTTTCAATGTCAGTCCCAGCCTTCAAAGAGTTTATCAGTTAAGGGAAGGAGGGGAGAGTGTGATAGAGAAAAAGAAGAGATCCAAACAAAAAGCTACAAAGAGGAGCCTTGAGGAGCAAGAGACACGGCTCTGTCACAATACCCAAATTCTGGCCTCAATTTGGTCATTTCCTAGTTGAATGACTTTGAGCAAGTCACCTAATTTCTCTGGGCCTCTTTAAAGTGGGATTGGTAATTCTCACCCTGCCTCCCTCACAAGACTGTAGTGAAGATTGAATAAGATAATGGATATAGAAATACTTTTAAGAGGGTAAAGAGCAATATGAATCAGAGGTGAAATTTGCCAGATTCCCCAATTTTACCCATTTTCAACCACAGATAATAGTTGATTGCCTTAGTGACTTGGTTCTAAATATCCTTTCACATGCATTCCCTCACTTGTCCTCCTCATTCCCTGTGAGGTAGGAAGGCACAGATGATTTATTATCCTGATTTCCCAGATTTGGAAATGAAAGCATCAAGTGATTTTCCTGGATCCAAACATCCATCACCACTCCCCTTTAAAAAACAAACATACAAACACTTTAAATAAAATAAGCCTTTGGCTTCCAGTCAGCTATTGGTTTATACCATCCTTCTCTAGATTTACTAAGATACGAGTCAGTCAGAGACATGTAGGGACTGAATCCCTGTGGGCTCCTCACCTTTTTCCCCAGCCCCTTCAAAATTTGTCCAGGTTAAGGACACTCTTGAAGGAAGAGTGCCTAAGAGCTAGAGGAAACTAGGTGGCACAGTAGAAGCCCTGAGTTCCAATCTAGCCTCAGACACTTACTAGCAGTGTGACCCCTGAACAAATCAGTTAACCACTTTCTTCCTCAGTTTCCTGAACTATAAAATGGAATTAATAATAGGCACTTCCTCCCAAGGTTGTTGTGAGGATCAAATGAGGTAATATTTGTAAGGCACTTAGCACCTGGCACATAGCAGGTGATTAATAAATGCTTATTTCTTTCCTTCCAAAGGAGAGCCTGAGGGGAGAAGGCATGGCCAAAGGGGAAAGGGTAGGACCCACTTTGCCTTTTGATGACTAGATCTATGTGAACTTCAACTCTTTTTTTTCTTTTTAAAGCAGCCTAATGTAATAGTAAGAATGGTATATTTGGAATCAGAAAACCTGGGTTCAAATAATCTGTTTACTAGTTGTGTGACCTTTGGCATGGGACTTCACCTTAGTTTCCTCTTCTGAAAAATAAGGGAATTGAATCTTTGAGCTTCCTTCAACTCCAGATCCCATGGTGCCCTTTAAATTTACCCCCTTTTCCTCCCTCACTGGGTGCCTGACTATTTAGGGCCCCCAAAGTCCCAAATGAGCTCTGGGCATTTTCCTTCTGGCTTGTAGACCCCTAGAGAGGCCCTGGTTAATATACATGTTCTCTGCTCCCCCTAACCCAGTCCCCAAACTCAGTACCTTCTTTCTGTTCATTTCAAAGCTTTCTTGTGTCTTTCAGGCAGTTAATGGAGAAGAGGGCGAATGACAGCCGGGACTGTGGTCATCACAGGTGGAATATTAGCAACAGTTATTTTGCTCTGCATCATCGCAGTCCTATGTTACTGTAGGCTTCAGGTACAGTAATAATCTATGCTTCTTAGATTGGATTGGATTGGCTTAGATTGGGTGAGGCTATGTTCCCCAGCTCAGTTTACTCCTAGCTTCTAGAGAAGGGTCCCCTGTTGGAATCCAAAAAAGAATCTGGGAAAGGGGAGGTCAGGCCTCAGACACTGTACAAGACAAGCAGTCCCAGCCTGATGCCCAGCTGGCCTTGTCTCACCACGTGAGTTTCCCCATCTGTAAAGTTAGTGATAAAAGAGGGAAGATGTTGAACTTTAAAATGGGCATGATAACACCTGCCTACCTCACTGGAATGTTGTGAGAGTCAGATATGATGAGGAATGTGAAAGTACTTTTGTTAAAAACACTAAGTGTTATTTCTCTTTCTGCATCCAGTATTACTGTTGCAAGAAAGATGAGTCAGAAGAGGATGAGGAAGAGCCTGACTTTGCTGTCCATTCTCACGTCCCACCACTCCACTCCAACCGAAACATCGTACTGACTAATGGGCCCTCCCTCTATCCATCTTCCTCCTCATCTTTCAACCAGAAATCCCCCCAGTGTCACGCTGTCTGCCCCAGCTGCTCCCACTATGAACCACCAACCTTCTTCCTTCAGGAACCTGAGGAAGTTCGAAATGGCGGGGAGCACATCAACTATAAAAACATCAGCCAGGAAGACATAGAGCTGCCAGTGACCTTTGGCGGACTCCAGGCCCTCAACCCCAACCGCCTCTCTGCCATGCGGGAAGCCTTCTCCCGAAGCCGTAGCATCAGCACTGATGTCTGAGCCCCATCCTAACCCCCTGCTCTGGCTCTGCGAAAGGAGCACTGAACCGGGAACTGAGATCTGGGTTCTAGACGCAGCTTTGCCACCAACTCGCTATGTGACAGCGGGCATGTCGTGGCCTCAGTTCCTTTACCTGCAAAAAGAGGGGATTTGACTAGATGGTATGTAAGGTTCCTTTCAGCTCCGTCATTCTTTGACTTGGAAGCCTTCAGTCCATCCTCTGGACATTGAAAAACAGTTTGGCCCCTGGGGAATCCACCAGGGGGTCTGACTGAGAGAGCTTCTGAGATGATGAATGTATTTTGTTAGTTCACTGATCTAACCAGTCATTCAGTCAATCAGCAAACTATTTTCTGAGCCCTTACTGTGTTTCCAGCTATGTGTTAGGCACTGTAAAGGGCACACACACACACACACCAACACACACACACACACACACACAAGAAAACGCATTCCCTGCCCTCCAAAAGTTGACAGTCTAGTTGGAGAGGCAGGGCACATGACAATATAACTAACAGAAGCAGGCAGTCTAGTCTGAGTTTCATACCCAATGAGGAGTGCAAACCATAGGAAGATAAGAGGAGGAAAAGGTCCCCGTGATATGGGGCAGTCAGGCAGGAAAGGTCATCATTTAAGGATGAGCCTCAGAAACAAAAGTGGTTAAATTCCAGCTAAGAGATGACAGTCATAGAGAGTAGCTATGGGGTATGAGGATGGGGGAGGGGAAACTGAAGCATTAAGGTAGTTTAAGCCATTACCTCCATTTTATTAGAAATTTTGGTACCAGGCTGTCTCTGGCTCCCAGAACTGCCTGAGTGTCACCACACCGAGTGAGTGGCTTGTCTCATATATCAAATGGCTGCCTGAGGTCGGAAGGTCTTGGTACTGGCAGTTAGAAATGTATAGCCTCCTCCAGCCTCCGATGGGCATGAGGCATTCCTTTTATCATTATCTCCCCATCTTCTTGGAACCCTAGCTCTCTTTGGATCCAAAGTAGTTTCTGGCCTTGTATGACAGCATCGGTGGAAAGGGAGCAGGATGCAGGAGGAAGGAGAGAATAAGCATAAGGATATTAAAATACCACCTAATTTGTAATCGATAATAATGACAAGTATGACTCTTGTCTTGCCCCTACATACAGAGACACACACAAAAATAAAATAGTGCTTTAAAAAAAAGTGACTCAAATTTGCCCAAAGACTTCCTAAGTCATGCATGCACACACACACACACACACACACACACACACATATACACACACCCAGGTTTCCTTGGGAAAAATGAGATGGGCTCTTGTTGGTTGACATAGCCGCCACTCTGCCGAACAGTCTTTGGAGTTTAAGTCATTGTCCCAGATGCCAGAAACCATTCTGGCCCATTCTCCTGCCTCCCACCCACCTTCCACATTGAACACTGATCTGCAGGCGTAAACAACAGGATCTACTCCAAATTGTCTCTCAACAGATCCCAATTCCAACAATTTCCTCCCCAAGTATTTTTAACCTCAACACACACCAACACCCAACATCCTCCATGTCGAGGGGAAGAAAGAAATCTGTTTTAATAACATCTAATATACTGATTAGAGAAATCCCCCTAATCCTAATGATGGGCCAGTCACTTAAGCTCCAGTGAAAGCAGCCATTTGTATAAGTCTCCAATCAATTTCTGTTTAGTAAAAGGCAATATTTACTCTTTGGTGGCATTTTGTTAAACTATATTTTTTGAAAAGATACAGGAAACTAGACTCCCTGGAAAACCTGTGTCCTCCAAGCTTCTCTCTGGATGCCCGCAGTTCTGTCTCTGGCTCAAGCCAGTCTATTGAGAGACAATTTCCTTTTCCCCTTCAAGACTACGCTGCCCAGGATTTGGGGAAGACAGTCTGCTCACAAGCAGAGAAGAAGGCACTTCTCACTGAACTCTCGATTAAAACTTCTACTTAGAAGACAAAGGGCAAATTTTAAACAGTTGTGGTTGGTTTATAAATATTGTGTGTACTGTGACGAGATATTTCCCTGTCTTTCCTGGAAGGCTTTTAATTCCACACAGAAGAGGTTTCGAAGGACATGAAAGATTCACCACTTTTGGTATTCTTGATTTTCTTTCTTCTCCTCCTTCTGCCTTGGTCTATAGTACAGTCGATTTGCCCAGTTAATCCATCCCTGAATGGGGCAAGTAGTCAGTAAAGCTTTGGTGTGAGTATGGGATGTGCGAGTGGGGATGGTGTTCTTAGTGGTCTGATGTCATAACAGGAGCTCAAACCAAACTCTTACTTTGTACAGTTCTTATCTGAAGTTGGTTCTGTTGCATTTGACTTTGGGGGGAGGGGTCGGGGGGGCAATTTCGTGTGGCTGTTGTCTTTCTATTTTCCTGTTTCCTTTTCCTATCTATACATAACTATAAAACATATATACATATATAGCTTTGAAATGAAACGAGACAGGCAGCTTAACTTCACAGAGGTGGACTGCTGAACGGGACTGACTCATGGGCCCACTGAGAAAAACAAAAGGAAATAAACTTTATCTTTGACATTACTATGGAGAAGAGGCTCTTTAATCTATCCCCACTTCCAGACCACTCTTTATAGTGGTTTAAGGAAGGTCATACCAGCCACCAATGACATTGTACAGAAGTCTGACTTTAGAAGAAAGTATCTGGCGAGTAAGGTCAGGGCCATAGCCCAGACATATAATTGGTGTATAGTATGGTTTTGAAAATGAAAGGCTAAGACTTACAACTATTACAGTCATCTGACTCTGGGCAGGGGAGTGGCCGCCATAAAGCCCACCTAAAAACATCATGGATTTCCCCCCCTAGAATGAGCCTTAGAACAGTGAAAGGAGCCGCACTTGGAGGACACGAGTGGAAGCAGAGCAGACTTCACAGGTGGAATGGTGACTGCATTATAATCCAAAAGGATACCAGGTATCCAGTACCAGAATAAAGGCAGCCCTATTGCCTTTATTCCTTTGAGTCTTAAAGAATCCCCCTTTAAACGCAAATATTCCCGGGCAGGGCATTCATTCTTTGTTATTAACTGGCACATTAATTATCTGTGAGCCTAATAATAGTGATTAGCCAAACAAGAATAAGGATAAAATATGGAGTGAGACACAGGAGGGAGGGGAAGGCCCCAGAGACAGATTTGTCTGACTTTTCAGTTTGCTGAGAGCTGGTCCTGACTACTTGAATGCAAGGGTCGAAGAAAAAAGCTTCAGGAGGACAAAAATGAGGTAGGCATCTACTCAGGGACATGACTTCTGACCCTTACTAGTTAAGTGATCTTGGGCAAGTCATTTAAACTCTTTGGGCCTCAGTTTCCTCATCTGTAAAATGAAAAGGGTTCAGACTAGATCGCCTCTAAGGTCTCTTCTAGCTCTAAAGTTGTGATCCTATGATTATCCCTGGGGATGCCCTCTTTTCGTCACCCAGTCCTCGTAAATCCTGAATACTGAAAGTACATCAGCATCTTCCCACCTTAAGGGGACTTTCTCATTAAGGAACTCAAGGAAAAGGAGAAAGCCACCCTGGTGACCACACTAGTTCACAGGAGATAGCGCCAATTCTGGAATCAAAGGACTTGGGTTCAAATCCCACCCTTGCAGTTTATTGCCAATATGACTTTGGATGAGTCACTTAACCCCCACGGGTCTCAAGTTCCTTGTCTCTCAAATGAGGAAATTGGACTGGGTGATGTCTGAGGTCTTTCCCAACTCTAAATCCGTGATCCTATGAAGCAAACTGATAGAGAAGAGCCACAATGCTCAACAGGCAAAGAGAGCAAGTTAGTGATAGTCCAGAGACGTTGCTCCATCTGGGTGTATGTCACCACCAACGCTGCTTGTCTCGGAGCAACCCTCTTTTCATTTCTGGACCTCTTTCCTCAGCTGTACCGTGCTGGGCTGGGGCTTGGTGGGCCCAGCTCCAGAGTGCGTGGAAAGGTGAGTGGAACACCTGGTTTGGGAAAGGACGTGCTCCCTGAAAGACAGACATACTTGCTGGATGACCAGTCGCGCTACTTCTCCCCAACCCAGGAAGCTGCAGACAGGTGATTGACAGCTCTGAAGCCCAGTCAAGAATTCACTTATAGGGTAGGCAGGGAGTTCTCCCCACTACCCCCTGGAGGGACTGAGGAATCCTCATCTAAGCTGGGTTTCTCTGAAGTTTTGTCATACCTGCTAGGAGGCTCACTGCCTTCTAGGAAGAGAGGGACAGCAGAGGCCTAAGCCATTGAGGTTTTTTCTGGGGTGTACTTGACAGGCTTGAAAAAGAGAGTTTTCATCTTTGTCCCAGCTCCCCCTCTCTTCCCCTTTCTCATCCATCCATCCATCCATCCATCCATCACTCCCCTCTCCTTTTCTTTTTTTCCCTCTTTTGTTTTCTCTCCCTTTCCCTCCCTCTCTCCCTCTTTCCTTCTCTCTCCCCCCTCCCTCTCTCCGTCTCCTCCTTCTTCTCTCTCTCTCTCTCTCTCTCTCTCTCTCCCCCTCCACCTTTCCCTCCTCTCTTCCTCTCTCCTCCATCCCTCCAACACAGGCAGCTGGTAGCATACTAGATAGAGTGATGAGCCTGGCATCAAGAAGACTTGACTTCAAATGCTTACTAGTTGCATGACACCGGGCAACTCATGTAACCTCTTTGCCTCAGTTTCCTCAGCTGTAAAAGGAGGATAAGAATAGCATCTACCTCCTAGGGTTGTTGTGAGGGTCACAGGAGATGATATTTGTAAAGAGTGCTTAGCCTGGCACGTAGTTAGATGCTGTATAACTGTTTATTCCCTTATCTTGCCCTCCTGAGCACAGCTGACAGTAGCCCGCCTAGAGAAGTTTCTGCTCCGCTTCAGCCCAGAGGTGTTGCAAAGCTCGGGTAGTACAATGAATGTAAACACTTTGCAAACCTTATCGTTCAGTTTGTCCCACTCTTTGTGAGCCCTTTGGGGTTTTCTTGGCAAAGATATTGCAGTGCTTTGCCATTTCCTTCTCCAGCTCATTTTATAGATGAAGGAACTGAAGCAAACAGGGTTAAGTGACCTGCCCAGGGTCACACAGCTAGGAAGTGTCTGAGGTCGGATTTGAACTTGTGAAATTGAGTCTTCCTGATTCCAGGCCTGGCACTCTATCCACTGTGTCACCAAGCTGCTGTTGGCAAACCTTAAAGTGTTATATAAATGCCAGTCCTCAGTATGACTGTTAGCCTCCAATCTAGAGATGACTGCATTCCCTGAGCCTTCCATCACACTCCTGCTGAGCTCAAGCAGTATTTACGGAGCAATCCAGGAGGGTGCTGGTACATGTTTAACCAACTGGGATCTTAAGGTGGGTGGGGAGGGATTTTAAATTTAACCTGCATTATTAACAAGTCTAGGCAATCAACAAAATAAATCAAACTCTTATTTGTAGTGCCCATTTCTGACGTGTGTAAATGCTCACATTGAAAATTTAGCAATCCGAAGCCACTCGGAGCTGGCTCTGCCTGCCTTTCTGACTGCTTAGGTTTGCCCTGCTCAGCCCTCCATATGCTGATCCTGCTTCTAGCCACAACCAGAGAGGCACAATGCTTTTGTGGGTGAAGCACAGGACTGGATCCTGGCACACACCTGGCACATTCTGGTTCAGTTGTGTCTGCCTCGTCATGACCCTGTATGGGGTTTTCTTGGCAAAGATACTAGAGTGCTTTGCCATTTCCTTCTCTAGTGCATTAAGGCAAATAGAGGTTAAGTGACTTGCCTAGGGTCACACAGCTAGTAAGTATCTGAAGCTGGATTTGAACTCAGATCTTCCTGACTCCAGGCCCAGCACTCTATCCACTGCATCATCTAGCTGCCTCTAATGCTTGTAGATTGATGGTGGGCTTGGAATCATGAAGACCCATCGCCATGAGTTCAAATCAAGCCTTAGAGACTTATCAGCTGTGTGACCCTGGGCAAGTCACTTAACCCTGGTTGCCTCGGTTTCCTTCATCTGTCAGATGAGCTGGAGAAGGAAAGAGCAAACCACTCCATTGGCTTTGCCAAGAAAACCCCAAAACTGGGTCACAGAGAGTCAGACATGGCTGAAAAATGACTGAACACCAGCAATCCCTAAGCCCCGGCTTTCACATCTGTACAACGCAGGGTGGGGCATACAGAGAGTCTGGAAAGTCTCTTCCAGCTCTGACATATGATGTCACACTGTATGTCCTAAGGTCCCTTCCAGCTCTGATACCCATTTTCTGAGGTTCTTCCCAGTTCTGAACCTGTTCAAAGATCCCTTCTAGTCCTGACATTCCATGTTCCAAGCTCTGACACTTTATATTCTCAAGTCCCTTCCAGCTCTGACATTTTAGAATGGGTTTGGTTTTTTTTTAAGTTAGCTTGTACAAAGCAAGCTCATGGGTATGTTTACAAAACTGCCTTGGCCTGGTTGTCCTCAAGGTCTGGGACAGACTCTTCTGGCCCTTTCAATGTTGCTGCTGCTCCAATGAGGGCAAAAGTCCAGGGCTCTCCCTCAAAGCTTCCTGTGCTTCTTAGTAAAAAGCTAACATTTCTATAGCACTTACATGTGCCAGGTACTACGCTAAGCACTTTGTAATTACTATCTCATTTAATCTTCACAACAACCCTGGGAGGTTCGTGCTATTATTATCCCCATTTTACAGTTGAGAAAACTTAGGCACGGTGAAGTTAAGTGACTTGTCCAGAGTCACACAAATAACTAATCAGTGTTTCTCCAGGCCTGACATACTATCCACTGAGCCACCTGTCTTTCCCTGCCTCCTCCCAGGTTCCCTCATCCCACCCAAAGCATCCAATATCTAACATCTCAAGCAAATGAAACCAGATGCCAGTCATAAATATGACAACTTTATTAACATACACAGATGAGTACTGATTAATGAGTATAGGGATAAAATCCACTGTTTGTAAACAAATATATTAAGAAACAAATGCGTCTTTTTGTGATATAAAGTGCAGGTACATTTCATTATATACACTTCTGTCAGCATTGAGGATCTTTTATAGGGACTATGTGACTGACATTTGGTTATGAGATAAAATTCTCTGAAAAGTATACACCTACTTTTACAGTCTTCTGTTCTCCTCTTCTGTAGTACCCCTCACCCTAGGGCCCAGAAAGAATCAGGGGATAAAAGGGTTTCATTCCAAGGCAACTTCTAAAATCAACAAGATGGCCGTCCACTTTCCAATATGATTTGATTGCCAAACATGTTACTCTGATTCCCCCCACCCTCTGGACTTTCATAAGAGCAAACAAGAAGCCGGCATGAAGGCAGGAGAGCAAAGGCCAAGGGCTGGAGGAGAAACCCCCACAAAGATTTCGATCTAAAACAGAAACAAATATACAAGATCCTATGTACATCCTTCCATCCATCCAGACACTACCAACACACAGTAGTGTGGCATCATGAATTAAGGTTCCCAGCCTTGAAACCCAATGCAGGTGACCTGGATCTCTCTCATGGATCAGGTGAGGGAGAAGAGGTTCAGCGGAGTGCGGTCAAAGTCCCTTCTCTATAAGCAGAGGGCCAATGTTCATTT